TGTGAAAATTCTCCCCAGTATACAATTCGGAGCCAATTATCCCCCTCCCATTTCGTTCGGCTGAAAAGAGAAAAAAAGCATTTGCCCAGGGAAATAAATTGTGGAATTGTTATGCCCTCTCTCTGCGCCCAGCATTTGGTAGGGCGTACAACGTATACTTAACCGTTAGTTATTCCTTTTAATGAAAGCCGAAGGACGATATATTCTAGGTGGTGGTTGAGACTGCGTGACTTTTTGGCTATAAAGAAATATATACAAATCCACTACCGGACAATTTATACGATTTGTGCAAATAGGCTATCTCTACCTCCTGGACTCTCAAAGAGGGCCACACTATTACCAATCTTCGGAAACGAGATGGAAACTTTGATGAAAGAAAATTGATGCATAAATTTCTTCAATCAACACCCTCAATAAGTAACTATTACATGGCCAAAGTACTCTCTAAATGTACTGTAGTAGGGTATGTATCTCCAACTCTATTTTGACACGTCAAGCTCCACAGAAACAAAGGAAGGCAGACGCAACACGAGAGAGAAACCAAAGAAGTAAAAAAAGATAGAATAACATTGTTCCTACTCTTTATAGTTTCTTGGTGTATATTTTTTTGCTGTTGGCATGACTTTTGACCTCGAGACATCATTGTGTAAGGACGAACGAGACTTCGATGATGCCGTAATTGTTTTCTCTTCAACTTGCTTGCTCCTTTTTCATATATTCTTTTCTTATATTCATTTTTCGTACATATATTTCGAGGAGCGATTTGCCGACCGACACAAAGCCATTTTTTAATAACACGCCATAGCATGGCGAGGAATTATTTCCGGAACGTTAGTGCTAGGAAAACGAAGTAAACCGGGGTAGAATAGGATATGAGTGGACCTGGAGACATGAATAATAAAAGTCTTGTTCCTCGTTCGGAACTGTAAATGGTTCATCACTCGTCAGTATATAGTTTTATTTATTAGAGACAATTGAACGGTTTCACTCGGATCTAGCCACGCTGGGCAGCTTTTGGCAGAATTGTTGTTTGAGATACAACACCGCTTTTGTGTGTTATTGGGGGAGATGGATAAGGAGTATGAATATTCATAATCATTATCAAGGAATTTCTTCATAGAAAAATATAGAACCACGGCCTCGGCTTGGTTCTAGCAATTGGCATGCTTGGAAACAGCATCACAGAAAGGACACACCCAAGAATGAATCTCAAATGGCATGAAGAAAGAGGAGAAAAAATAAATAAAGAGGAAGAAGCAAGAAGGAAAAGTTAAAGAATGAAACATAGTATATATATGCCCAAAAAGCGAACCCATCAATCGACTCGTCAGGCGGCCAAAAAAACTGTGAAATTTTATCGACACCCAAACAACAGCTGGGATTAGAACGGGCACGCTCTAATTTTGCTCTCGGTCTCTTCCGTAATTTGTAGAGGTAATGGAGGCAAATAAAAACAATTATTTACAATGACTACCACGACAAGGGTATGTTGGAGACCTGGAATATGTATGAAGAGGAAGAGGAAGAGAAAAAAGAGAGAATGAACGAGGAGGATTTTTTGTTTTTTGAGGAAGAGATGTGCATTAGGTAAGCGAAAACGAAGATCACGTGGACCTAAAATGAATGGGATGGGGGTAAAGTGCGAGCAAAAAACAGGGAACAAGAGCTCGAAGAAAAAAAAATATATATCGGGGAAGAAAAAATTGCCAAAAAAATATTTATATTTGATGGGAAATCAAACGAAACACAACGCGAAATTGAAGAAGACAAAATAATAAAAAATAAAAGGAAAAAGAATACGGTATGAGTTTATATGCACCAGCCGTGAATCGAACACGGACCTCTTGCTCAATTTTTCCAGGCTAATTCTTCATTAGTCTTAACTGGAAGGCAAGAATCCTAACCATTGGACTACTGGAGCTGATTTAGTGGGAATACTCATAACTAAATAGTCAGAAAAAGAGCATATTTCTTACAGCTAAACAGAATCCATATTACTATATAGCCATCCTCCCCGATTCTTATGCACACAATATATATCTATGCATTTTTATGCTGCAGCATCTCAAGAAGTTATCCACGCCGATTCAACAAAATATATATATATATAATAGATTCAGTTTTATACAGAAACTCGGGCGTCTTCCGAGGTAGAGTTTCGCCATGTAAATAACCAAAATATTTAATTGAAAATAAATAAATATTAACTGAATAAATAAAAAACAACGATGGTTATCTTTTCTTCTTTGAGTTATGTAAAATTCATTTTTCATTTTAGTTTTGAAAGAATTTATATGTAGCTGTATAACCTTGCAAGGGCCGGACTTATGTCAAAAAATAATATAAACAGAAAGAAATTAAATAAAAGTGGCTATGTACAAGAGAAGTGTGAAAAGGAAAATAATGCTCAGCTGAGGGAAAATAGTGATGATACGAATAGAACGGGCGATCAAAACAGATTATTTTGTCATTCGTCATAAAAATGCAGGTCCGGGTGGGGGAGGGGGCAAAAGGGGGTTAGGGGCATCTGAATACATGACACACAACGACCCGCCTTCAGAACCTCGCAATGACCTTCTCCTGTGTATCCGACAACGCCCATTTGCTGGTATTCTCCTTGCTAAGAACGCTCTTGGCCTGGTCAGCTGTGAATCCCTTCGCGACAACTGCCGGGTTATATCCCAACCGATTAACCTTCCCGACAACCTCATCCGGAACGGGGACAGCCTCCTTGCCATCTGCGCGCTTATAGACAGTGACCACAACCGCACCCCCAAGGCCCAAGTTATGCTGCAACGCCGCATCAGTCCCCTTAACCATACGATTATTCGCCCAGCCGCGCAGATGCCACACAAGTTCCGCGCACTGCGCCACACCCGTCGCACCGAGCGGGTGGCCCTTGGAAATCAGCCCGCCGGACGGATTAACGACCATCTTGCCGCCGTAGGTAATATCACCCCGACGAACCATCTCGTGCGCCTTGCCAGGCTCCGACAGCTCCAGTGCGTCGATGGTCGTCATTTCATTGGCTGAGAAGCAGTCGTGCAACTCACAGACCTTGACGGATTTGACATCCACCTTGGCCTCGGCAAGGGCGGTGCGGGCCGCATACCGGGCCATGTCGAAGCCCATGAGGCTGATAGAGCTAGTATCGTAGACGGAGGGGGCGTCGGTAGCGATAGTCTGACCGGCCATGAGGACGGCCTGGTCTTTGAGGTGTGGGCGCGCGTCGAGGAAAGCTTGGGAGACGATGACGGCAGCCGCGCCGCCGTCGGAGGTTGGGCAGCATTGGAGCTTTGTGAGCGGGTAGAAGATCATGGGGGCCTTGGAGATTTCGTCAAGAGTGTATTCTTGTTGGAATTGAGAGTATGGGTTTCGTTTGGAGTGCTCGTGGTTGATGCGGCCGATTTCGGCGAAATCTTCGGCTTTGGCACCGTATCTGGATTTGATTTTTTCCCCTTGTTAGCATAAAATGATACTCCCCTACGTAGCTTTGCGTGTTGTTGGAGAAGAAAAAAAGCCTGGTCAGAAGAAGGAAAAACAAAAAAACTCACTTTTCCATATACTCAAGACCTGCATTTCCAAACATCTGCGCCGCACCAGGTGCGTTAGTGATGCCACGGGTCTTCGCCATCATCTCACCAAAGAGACCAGTGGGGTTCGCTCGGTCATTGAAATTCGCTTGGAGACTGCCCGGGTTCATCTTCTCAAATCCTACGACGAGCACGCAGTCCGCAGCACCATGGCCGACCATGGTCCGCGCCATGGCAAGACCCGTGGAGCCTGTGGAGCAGTTGTTGTTGACGTTGTAGATGGGGATTTTGGTGAGGCCAAATTGGTAGAAGACTCGCTGGCCGCAGGTGGAGTCGCCGTAGCAGTAGCAAGCCACGCCCTGTTCGACGTCATCATAGGTGATCTGGGCATCCAACATGGCCTTGACGCCGGCCTCGAAACCGAGCTCATGGTAGTCGACTTTGCCACGGGGTTTGATGAACTTGGTCATGCCCACGCCGAGGACATAGGCGGGGCCTGCTTGTTTTCTGGCCATGTTTGTGTGTTTGTGTGTTTGTGTGTTTGTGTGAGAGGTATAAAGATATTGAATTTTTTAATTTTATTTTTTTAATCTGCCATAGCGAGTTAGCCTGGAGTTCTCTCCTCTCCTCTGCTTGACGAAGTTGATACTATGAAACAAAGTATTAGTAGTACTTACAGGTAGTCTTGTTCGTTATGACGATGAATAATTGACGGAGAAATAGATTTGCTTAGCGGGAACAAAGAAAGTGCGCAGGTATTTATGTTCCGGATAGGCTCGCAGCTCATCCCCCCCCGTCTTCCCCCAGCTTGTGGTGGTTATGGTTGCGGGGAGCCCGAGGATCCTCGGTGCCTCGGAACAATCTCCAACCACCAAACACGGGGGCAGCCCTTCCCGGAAAGAGCTAGCTCCGGCATATAATACGGCCCTCCAGGCTCCAGGACGGGCGGCTCTTCACGGCTGTAAGTATAGAGTGGAGGGAGTATATACTACTACTCTCACTTCTAACCGCACATACCTTTCCCAAGGTCCAAAATACCCGGCCACCGGCATTGTAGTATGTATGACATAACGAATACTAGTACTAGCACGCCCTTCCACCAAGAACAGAACAACTTGAACACAATAGTATCCAGAGGGTGGGATGGATATGGATATGTTGTATACTATCTGTACGGTACGTGTATTTCCCGTGTCCATTCCCAAAATGCTGAGCCAAACCAAAAGTTCCTTCCCACTCACCACCTTATGGAGTCACAGAAACCGTGCTGAACGAGACCGCGGGCAATGTCATGCCATACAATGAGAAAAAGAGAGGAGATAAAAACGAGAGAGCGCGTGGGAGATAGTTCAGAGAAAGTGATCAAATTACCCAAAAAGAAGAAGTAAATACTACTAATATGTGAAAACGGCCAGGAAAACCACAAAGAAGGGACTAAAAAAAAAAAAACAAAAAAAAAAAAAAAAAAAAAAGAAGAGCCGCGAGGGGATTCTGATTC